GCTTTTAATGTACTACGATAGCTGCTGAAATTACTACTGGGATCCATTTGGTGCTCGAGAATAGCAAACTTGGCTGATTGAACTTTTGACCACTGCAAATGGAATCCAAGGAATTTTTATGAATACTCTCCGAAAGTGTGAATTCTTTCTTAATAGAGCAATTGTTTACGGAATGAAAATTCCTAAAATTACTCGCTAAAATATCTTTTCTCCATCTTGGTGGCTGATAAACTGGGTATTTTTAATAACTTTTCTGTAAAGTTGATAGATCCCTCGAAATCAATATCGCGATCTATCACCCTTCAACATTTTTTCCTCTTGTTTATCATTTTTTTAAATATCCATTAGAGTTATTTCCGCCACACAATTTAAACCGAAAATTTAGAAATGTTTTGCACTAATCAAATAGAATTCAAATCAAAGATTAGATTTGATTGATAGTGCGTGCGGGCCTTAAATTATCAACGCACGAATATTGTGGAAAAATATCTCGAATAAATAGTGATTCTATTGTTTAACAAAAAGAGAGCTTACGGTTTTCTTTAATCGTGAAATTGGTGACATATTCAGTCCGGCAATAATCGCCATGAGTGAATTGAAATTGCCAATGTTGAAACACTCTCGTGCTGTCTCGATCCAGTACTCCACTACACGAACTCGTTGTTTCTTCTTGGCATGCTGATAAACGAAAAAACAAATTCACAGTTTATCAACAAATTCAGCCAACCTGTTCAATACTTTTAAAAAGTACACATACTTTGCATATTTCAGTGGCAACAAAATAACTCAGTCGATTGAACCAAGAAACGTAGGACTCGAGGTTTCGAGTTTTCTTCATTTCTTTGAAAGATGTTTCTAAATGAGGCGACTCCTGTATTATAAAACATAAAAGAAAAAATAGAAAAATAATCGACAAGTTCTTCAGTCAATTCAGTTATAATTCAGTCAAGGGTAAAAACCGTTAAAGAATCTCTTTACCTTCGCAAATGCTTGAACAAACTCCTCTGGTCCAATATACGAGAGTCTCTCGAGCTCAACATGTGTCAATTGCTGAGCTAGGATCATTGCTGAAGGGCATAATTCAGTTACGTCCACCTATTAGAGGGAAAAATAAAATATCGATTCCGTAGTAAAGAGAAAAAAGAGGGCTTAACTGCGGGAATTACCTACACGTTACACGTCAAGTACTTCGGCCCTAGTGAATTTACTGAACGAAAATCATGCTGTATTTTTATCAATACCTTGAATAATTAAGAAATCATTAAGAACTCTTGCCTAC